AAAATTTAGTAAAATTGAAATATATAGTTCATATTTATTGAAGTGGTCATTCTTGATTGGTTGAAACCAAAATTAGGCTGGTTTTGATTAAGAAAAAAAATTAACAATTTAAAATATATATTTTTTTAATCTTTAGTGAACTTAATTTAGAATTTCTCAAAAAAAAAATTCATTTTTAGGTTTTACTAAACTAAAATGGATATGAAAAGTAAAAAAATGGGAAAGTCCACTAAAGTGAACAAAAATATTTTTTCTTTAATTATTTGTTTTAAATTAAAATTTTATATTATTCAAATTAGACAAACTTGAAAAGCAAAAAAAAAAAAAAAAGAAAAGAAGACAAATTTTAAGAAATTTTACTAAAAAACAAAAAAAAACAAAAAACTATTCTCAAAGCGAGCCTTAATGTCATTTTTACATATCACCTAATCAGAGGTGGAGTAATTTGAGTAAAATGTCATAATTAATTTATAATAAGTTTAAAGACACAAAATTAATTAAAAAACTAACCACATAAAATATAAATAAAATAAATTGAGTGATGATATGTAACATGTATAGTGATAATTATTTTACATAATTAATTTTATGTTAATAATCTTGTTACTTCTTTCGAGGAAATTTTTTTTTTATAATGATTATATCTTGTATCTTATATCTAATGGTCAAGATTTGCCCCCATTAAGGACTCTCTATACCCGAACTTGCTTTACAAGTTGGGCTAAGAAAAGGAGTCCAGATTCCCTCCTTGAGCCCCCTCCTTCATTCCCTCCTTGCAGGGCCTTCGGCTCCACTTTGAGGCCTAGTTTTGATAATCCGAATCGTTCATATTTTTAGATTTATTCAGTATATTATACCTGTAAAAAATCAAGTTGATCGGATATCAGAAAGTATGCGTTCAGAAAATTGGAACTACAAACTATTTTTTAATAAACAGTTTTCCGAACACATACTTTATGATATTCGATCAACTTGATATTTTACAGGTATGATATACTGAATAAATCTAAAAATATGAACGGTTCGGATTATCAAAACTGGGCCTCAAAGTGGACCCGAAGGCCCCTACAAGGAGGGAATGAAGGAGGGCGTCAAGGGGAGGATCCCAATTCTAAGAGAAGTCCCACTGACTTGTAAAGTAGAGAGGACGTCGAGGCAACTTATGGAGAGGAAAGGTTTTAGGGCGGCTTGACCTACTACTGTCCAATTGTCATACTCTCCATGGTTACAATACAAGCCTTTATGGTTATGGTTATGTGTCTAGGTTTGACAGTTTATCATTTGGACCTGTTCATTTCAGATAAAATATCAGTCTAAAAAATAAAAATAGTAAATGCAAAAATATTCCAATTTAATTTTTTTTTTTTTTTTGAAACTATGGAATTTCCTTTATCCCTCATTTCTTTTACCACTTCAACACCTTCAATTGCTTCCACCACTCTCTCCCACATTTTTCCCTGTCACCACTAGCTTTTTTTCACCTCATGGTTACTCATTACCATTATCCTTCTCCATATTTCCCGCCAACTCTAGGCCTTGTCCTTCCCAATCTTCAATCATTGTTTCTCCAATCTGTAGGCACCCCGTCCTATCTCAACCCTTCAAGTCTCTCCCACTCGAGAAGCCGACTTTGCAAATGTGAACTATATCAATTACAACTATAGTGTCAGATTCAAATGAAAATTGTGTTAGTTTTCATTTGCACCTTACAGAGTTCACACCTTTGGGATGACAGTATGGGGTTATGAGATGAAGGAATTGGGTAGAGCTGGGCATATGTCGAGCTGGTCGGATTTAGGCCACGCCAATATTACATAATAAGATATTTTATATCTATTCAAGTCTGACCTAGCCGTAACATTTGGCCTCTACATCTATCTAAGCCCGATCAAAAAATAATTATAAATTCTAAATCCATCCATCAGGCTATATGTTAAAAAAAAAAAATTAAAACATTTTATAATTAAATTTAATCACACATTACATTTCTTAAATAAATGTATTGATATCATTATAAATTGAAAGATTTTGTGTATAAATTGAAGAATTTCTTAAATAAATTCAATCACACATCACTACAAATATGAGTTTCAATAAAATCAACAATGATAAAGTTTATATCTCAACAAAAAATATATATTTTTTAATGAATTATAATTAATTAATTTAATAGAGGGCTAGGCTAGGCTGGATTTGGTTGAAAATATAAATCTCAAATTCAGTCCATTAATACATGGTGTTTGGCAAGTTTTTCTCCTAGGTTTTTTTTTTAATTTTTTCCACTAAAAGACAAAAATTTTGCATAACCAAAAAAAACACATCCAAAAAAAATATCACATCTAATCACATAATCATTTCACTTTTTCTCTCATAAATATCACATCCAACCATAAAAAAACTCAACTATCTTCCCAAACACTAAAAAAATTTCTCTAATAATATCCTATAACTAAAAAAACCTACATAAAAACTCACTTCTCAAATACCTTATCAGGTTGAAAATATTAGCCCAATCCGACCTTTTGGACTAAAGCAATTTTTCCAAGCCCTACAAATATAGGGTTACAACGAACAGACTGGATGGGTCAAAGGGCCGATGCCTGCCCGTAAAGTTGGGGAGTTGGGATTGTTGCAGTATCTAAGTTCTTGCGAAGGGAGGTTGTGGGGTAGGATAAGGTGGAAATGAGAAGAGCTAGGTAAGATGAGAAAGTGGCAACCTGGTAAGGGCTTGGGGTTTAAGCCCTAGGTCCTGGGTTCAACTCTTCTCTGGGCCAATCTCCTAGGTGTAGCACAGTTGGTTAGGAGGTTGACCTCAAGGATACCTTATCAGCTATTTGGTGTGGGTTTAATTCTCCTCCGCTGTGCGATTCTTGACTTAAGCGGAGCTTGCCTTGGGAGGTCGGGACAAGCTTCCAGGTTCTAGTCTCTTACTCGGAACGGACAACAGGACACCCTGATGATCTCCTCAAGGGGGCGCTGCCTTAGACCTGCGGGAGAGTGAGAGGATTTTCCTGTAACAAAAAAAAAATGTGCTTTCTATAGGATCACCCAAAAAAAAAAAAAAAAGATGAGAGAGTGACAAAGAAGATGATAAATGGTAGTAATAATGGTGGCAATAGTAAAAATGAGTCGAAAGACTATGCGAGTAGGAAGAATTAAAAATTGTTGAATAACCTTAATATACCATATAACATTCCCCTCTAATGCTGTGTTTGGTTGGGGGATTTGGAGAGGGATTTGGAAAGGGAAAGGAAAAAGGTGTATGAAACTAGGTGAAATGTAAGTATATTTTATTCACATTTTACCTAACTTTTCCCTTTTCCTATCCAATTCCCTCCTCAAATCCCCCTACCAAACACAATGTAAGGGAAAAAAAATATAACACATTGAAGTAAATTACTTATTATCTTTTAATTAGTTAATAAGATGAGTCAATATTATTTTAACGGTAAAAACTTTTAATATGTTGAAATCACAAAGCACAATTTAAACAATACAACATAGTAGATCAAGATTACTCAATAATTACTTAGAGCATCTTTAAGGAGATAGTTAAACAGGATTTGTTAGGTATTTTAGTCAATGTAAGTCTAATTTTGAGCTTCAATGAGCTAGCTATTGGGTTAGCTACTTTACCATCTTATTTTTTTGGTGGCTACAATTACAATTGAAGAGCTCCAGAGGCTCTCCAAACAATTATGTATGTATATATTTTAGATTTTTGTATATTTATGTCTTGAATTTTGGATTTTATATTATATATATATATGTGTGTGTGTGTGTGTGCATGTAGCAATTTTATATGTTCTTTCAATTCTGTTTGATGAATTACGGAATAACTTATTTTGTATTTTATATTTTTTTTTCTTCTCATTCTGCAAGTTTTGTATGTTTGTATGGGCAAATTTATTATTATTACAAATTTATATTAGTAAAATATCAACAATTATTATTTTTTATTTTAAAAATTAATTAAGTTAGTTTAAAGGGTGAATTACACTAATAGTCCCTATAGTTTGGAGTTTGTGTCATTTTGGTTCATGACTTTTCAATTATGACACATTTGACCATGAATTTTGAATCTTGTTCCAAATAAGGACAATTGAAGATATCATTAGATTTTTCAAAGACAAAATCATCAATTTGATAAAATATAAACTAATTTGACAAAAATAAATGTCAAACAAATATTTTTGAATTTTTAAAAATTATTTCTACCCACTAAAAATAAAATTATGTAAAGTTGATAAATTTTTTAGACATTTATTTATTTATTTTACCAAATTAATTTTTATTATGTGTTTGATGATGATCATATAAAATTAATTTTTAAAAATTAATCATGTAATTTTTATTAATTTTACATAATTTTATCATTGGTGGATAAAAATAATTTTTAAAAAATAAAAAATATTTTTTTGACATTTATTTTTGTCAAATTAATTTATATTTTATTAAATTGACAATTTTACCCTTGAAATTAAACAATGGTATCTTTAATTGTTCTTATTTGGAACAATATTCAAAATTTAGGGTCAAATGTATCACAATTGAAAAGTCATAGACCAAAGTGACATGAGTTCCAAACTATAGGGACGGTTAGTGTAATTAGCCTTAGTTTGAATGATTAGCTAAAATAAAGAGCGTGGTTAGAAAACATAATAACTAAAGTAATTAAGTAAAATAAAAAATATATTTTTTTTATACCTTAATTAATGAAAAATAAAGAGTATGACTGAAGTTGCTCTTAGCAATAACATACATTTTGATTTCAATAAATAAATATAAATGGCACACTACATATTTTTATATAAATTTTTATTTCTTTATTGTTTTTATACGAATTTGTAAATGGTCACTTTTCGTTTTTTGTGTGGAAGTAGTACTTGCACAAAATCTCTCTCACCAGTGGCCCACTCCCCACCATCCTCCTAGTCGTCCCCAACCATCTCTTTCAAAAGTCTCACCGTAATTTGCAAGTAAGAACTGCCATTCGTTGGTAGTTCCGCTGACTCCGTCCTCCACCACCCTCCTCTCTCTCTCTCTCTCTCATCGTCTCTTTTACGTCATAACCACAATACAATCCACAACAAACCCAAATGGTAGACGATAAGCAAAGTCAAGCCTCTCTCTCTCAATCTTAACTCTTAAGTAATTCTACTTCTCTCTCTCTCTCTCTCCCCCATTTCTCTGCTTTCTCAGAACGCAAACAAAAATTCGAAACCAGAGCTCGTTAATGGTGACGACCCACATGGCGATTCTCTGGAATTTGCTCGTAGCTTCGTGGGTTTTGTCGATTGTCTTGGTGTGCACTGTAGATGCTCGATTCGTGGTCGAAAAGGAGAGTATCAGTGTACTCTCCCCTTTGGAGCTTCGCTCGAAGCGTGACGGTGCGATTGGGAACTTTGGAGTTCCTGTGTATGGAGGATCTATGGTGGGCGCTGTTGTTTACCCTGATAAGGGCTTTTCTGGTTGTAATCCCTTCGATGGTGATAAACCCTTCAAGTCAAAGTTTCGTCTTCCAGTTATTCTGCTTCTCGATCGTGGAGGTAAATTAATAACCTATATATATATACAGCTTTTTTTTAAATGTAAATATAGTAGCTTCTTTTATGAATTTGATTGATGGGTTGAATTGACATGGCCTTTGAATTGTTGGGTAGTTGTTTGTTATTGTTTTTATGTTTAGATTTGGCTTCTCTCCTGTTCTTATTGGATTGGATTGGATTGGAGGGTCCTGTCCCGACTCTGTTGGATGTACTGTGGGTCCACCTTGGTCATTCGAATTATTCACTGGTTGTGTAGATTGATCGAGCATGTAGCGAAATGATCATTCATGTAAAAAAAAAATCAGATTAGATGATTTGACATCAGTAGTAACATGATCGGAATACTTTTTAGTCTCAGATAAATGTGATTGAATAATGTATTATCTATATTCAGTCAATATGATTTTTTATATGAATTAATAGATATAAAAAATGATGTTTCCAAGATGGGTAGGAGTTAGTTTTTCTTGTCTCACTTTGTTAACCAAGTATATCATTTGGGAATAGATGGGTATTTATTATCTCAGGGAATTAGTTTTTGGATAATTTTTATTTTTTGGCACTAATACTACCTACTCAGAATTTTAATACAAATATCAATGTGTGGTTCAGATTCATTCACCACAATACACCAATTAAATCTCAGTCACACTTCTCCAATCATGTAATTTTTAGAGTTTTTCTTATTTTTGGTATGTGAAGAAGCCGTTGGACAGTTCTTGATGCCTAGATGTTGCTACTCTGTTCTATACTCTGTTTCACCCTTTTTGTCCCCTTCTCACTAACTGCTTAATTGAATGAAAGCAGAATTTGGGTTTGTTTCTGTCTTTTGTGGGTGTCTTAATTTCTCAATCCAATTAATTGGGACAAAAGTCCTTTGTTTCTTCCTTTCTTGCTTATGTGGTGAAGATCCGTTTATTTTAAGCTAGTTTTGTGAGGAATTGACAGCTGTATCTCATGTTCATCTCTCTCTCTCTCTCTCTCTCTGTCTTCCTCCAGCTTGTACCATTGACTTTTTTTGTGGAATCACATTTTTTAATTGCTCTGCTCATTGGAATATTAAATGTATAATGTAGCTAGTAGATCATATTCTGCAACGGGGGGTTGTGTGGTTTTTCCTTGGTGATAAATTTGTAATTTTGAGATGAATGCAAATTAATTGCTTCTTCCTTACACTTTAAATTGTTTAAAAAGATCTGGAGATATTATAGAGGAAAAATGAAAAATGCCAATCTGGAGATAATATAAGAAAAAATCATTGGATTAACAAATATGATTTCCTTTTGTCCTTCGAAAATGAGAATTTAGAAAGAAAGTTGTTGATTTATTTATTTATTTTTATTTTAATAATTTCTTACACTCTCCAAACTTCATTTCCAAATGAATCACAGAATGAATGGTCTACATATTGTAGCTTCATGCCCAGTTCTTCATTTTTTCCGTTCTCAACCCTCACTTGGCACTTGCAGCATGAGTAATTTATATAATTTTCTTGCCTTTTCCAGTGGATTAAAGGTCTCTTTTAACAGTGAAATTTCACATCAATCCATTATATTTTCTCTGATAACTATTGTTGTGGCTCATATTACAATCTTGTTGATAGAGTAGAGATTGCTATGACGGTCTGTTCTGTTTTGATAATTCAATAATATCAATTAGTATTTCGTATCACAAAAAATTGTAGTTTGGAGGGGTGATCATTGGTTCAATGGTTAAGACTTGGCCTAATAACCTTGGGTTATATGTTCAAGTCTTGGGACCACCACTTTGTGCATTATGTCAAAGGTTAGGTGTGTACTCAATCTTTTTCCTCCCAAACACACATTAATGTGTACTAATTGGGGCTTTTTTTATTTTTATTTTTAAAGAATTGTAGTTTGGACATTCTAAATGACTTCCTTTTCTTGTTCTGCCTTGCAATGTTAGACTGCTACTTTGCCAAGAAGGTATGGAATGGGCAACAGGCTGGTGCTGCAGCAGTTCTGGTGGCTGATAGCGTAAACGAACCTCTGATAACTATGGATTCTCCTGAGGAGAGCTCCGAGGCAGATGGATACATAGAAAAGATTGAGATTCCATCGGCTTTAATAGAACGGGCCTTTGGTGAAAGCTTGAAGGCTGCATTAAAGAAAGGTGATGAAGGTGTCGTGATAAAACTAGACTGGTCAGAGTCAATGCCCCACCCAGATGAGAGGGTTGAGTATGAGCTGTGGACTAACAGCAACGATGAGTGTGGAATTCGCTGCGATGAGCAAATGAATTTCGTTAAAGATTTCAAAGGCCACGCTCAGATTCTTGAGAAGGGTGGTTTCGCACAGTTCACACCTCACTATATAACTTGGTATTGTCCTCGACCTTTTGTCCTTAGCAGTCAGTGCAAGTCACAGTGTATAAACCACGGACGATACTGTGCACCTGATCCGGAGCAGGATTTTGGAGTGGGGTATCAAGGGAAGGATGTGGTGTATGAGAATTTAAGGCAGCTGTGTGTCCATAGAGTTGCCAATGAAACAAACCGGTCTTGGGTTTGGTGGGATTACGTGACAGATTTCCATATCAGGTGTTCGATGAAGAAAAAGAGATATAGCAAAGAATGTGCCGAAGATGTCATGAAATCGCTTGGTAAGTGATATCTCAAGAAATCATTTTGCATACAATTAAGTTTGTTTTTTGTTCTCTTAAGAAATTCTTAATGTTTGATTCTGATCCACCAGATCTGCCAATTGAGAAGATAAAGACATGCATGGGAAACCCAGAAGCCGATGTAGTAAATGAAGTCCTAAAGTTGGAGCAAGAGCTCCAGGTTCGTGCTTTCTCCGATTCTCTGTTTAACCACATTAAAGTTTTTTTTTTTTTTAAACTACTTTTTTTACTAGTGCATTTTCTGTTTGTACTTCTCTCGTGATGCAAAATTTAGTTAAATGATTTCAGTTGCTGTACTAGATGAACTTATTATTTGTGCTCTGATTTTTAAAATCTAGGTTGGACGAGGTTCTCGTGGTGACGTTACCATCTTGCCAACGCTGGTCATAAATAACGTTCAGTACCGAGGTTCGTTGGATAATACACAATTCTGATCTATTATAGAATTATGCTATGGTTCCTTAATATCTCAATTAAGTCATAGTTTTGCACTTTGGCTTTCCATATTAGTAGTATCAGAAAGATCTAACAGCCAAATATATATATATATATATATGTTTAATTACATGAAAGCTACATTGAATGAGGTATGGTGAGCTTATGGAAGGAAATTCTTCATTTTATGATAATCAGATTTTAATGCACTATGTTTATGATATTTCTAATGGTAAAGTTTTTGTTGGATAAATAGTTGTTAAAATCATACGATTCACAATTTGAATATTGCGGTTTGAGTTGATTCAAGCCTTCATTAATAGGAATTGGTTGGGTTAATTAACAAAGGCCTTGAATTGGTGGTGGGTGAATTGATGAACCGATTGACCAAATCATGATTCTGTCAAATGCTTCTTTATCAATTTTTAGTCTTTTTTTCTTTCTTCTTGCTCTTGTTCTTTTGTTGGAAAACGGTATTTTAAAGCCTTTTAAGGCTTTTAAGATTGTTCCGTACCATTTTTCCCCTCTCTTTCCCCTTTATTCAAATTTAGCTTTGGCTTCTTGTATGATGGACCTTGAATGCTTTTTCCATGTAATTTTCTTACTTTCTTTTAATTGTTTTCTTTTAAGTGAATTAATGCACACAATTCATGTTTTCCTACCTATTCAAGAAAGTTCACTGAATTTTACAATTCATAATTTGAAAACAGAGAATTTTCATTCACAATTCATATCTCGATTCAATGACCAACCTGGATGTCTTTGCTGAGGTAGAAATGAATGTTGTTGTTTTTCACACTACCCCAACAGCTAAAACACAGGGGCTTTGGAAATTGGAATCCATTTTGTTGTACTTTTCTCATGAACTACATAACTTGATCAATATAGTTTGGTATTGCTTAGTATTCTTAATACAATCTGTATTTCAATTTTTACCTACTGTCTTCTAAAGTACTTTTTCTGTCTTTCCTGAAGGAAAATTGGAGAGGACGGCTGTGCTGAAGGCTGTATGTGCTGGATATAAGGAGACCACAGAGCCTCGAATTTGTTTGAGTGCAGGTTTGTGTCGTTGCATTCTTTTCTAGTCTGTCCGATATGAGTAGGGCATGAAATTGTTGAAATTGAAATGCATTGATGCCCATTCTTATCGTCAAGTTGATGTTTTAATAGATCTTGAGACCAATGAGTGTCTCGAAAAGAATGGTGGCTGTTGGCAAGACACAAATGCTAATGTAACTGCTTGCAAGGTATGCAGAGTGGATAAGAACTATTTAATAGAAGCCACGTTTGACAGAGTATGATTTTAGAAGCACTTTTAGAGTTTCGATCTATTACTTACACGAGGATTTTGTCTTCCTCTAGGACACGTTTAGGGGAAGAGTTTGCGAGTGTCCTTTGGCAAATGGTGTGCAGTATAAAGGAGATGGTTATACATCCTGTGAAGGTAATATTCCCATGCAAGAAATGCTTATATATTTATATATATGTATTTATGTATGTATAACTTTTTAAAATACAAACTTCCTGCAAATAAAACTTTCTAAACTCCTAGAATAACATAACTAATTGTAACCAAGGCTAACAAACTACTCAAATAGCCGCATGTTATATACTAGTGACTCATGTAATGGACTTTGTCATTCCTTTCTTGTTGCTCCTGTGTCAAAATGCCCAAAAATACATCACTCCTATCTTATGTATGGTATGTATTTCATGTGATCAATCATCGAATGTTACACCTGTTAAATTGTTTTCATTAGTTGTTTGAAAGTTTAATATGTTGTATTTTCATAAATAAAAAAATAAAAAAAACCAATACGTTGTGTGAACCAAAATCTATTACTCCATTAAATTATATGTCTATCTTATGAGTGCATTGTCTTGACTGCAATGAAAATTTACTCATATTCCAACAAGTCTCTCATTCAATGAAATCACAATTCGCATTGCTCCTTTCAGGATAAGAATGATACATTCTTTCTATCTTTTTTTCTTTTTTTTTTAATGGTTTGAAATTTTTTAACTTTTTTTTTTCTTAATTAACAGCTATGGGACCTGGAAGGTGTACACTAAACAGTGGAGGCTGCTGGTCAGATACTAGAGACGGAAAAACATTCTCAGCTTGCTCAGTTCCGTAACGTTATCCATTCATTTTTGATTGTGCTAAACATGACTGTTGCTTTTTTCATTTCATTCTCTTTTCTTTTTGAGGTTTTCTTATCTTGCTAAAATATTGTGTTTATACAAAATAGGAGTCTGATCTCACTGGCTGTCGCTGTCCAAAAGGTTTTCGCGGGGATGGTCATACATGTGAAGGTGATTTTCTTTGTTCCATTGGGATTGTGAGACTCTTAAGAACATCATACAATCTCATACATACACAATTCTAGATGTTTTGGTATTCTAAATCTAAAATCCATAATTTTTGTGTTATTTTAATTGTACAACAGACATTAACGAATGCAAGGAACGTCTAGCATGTCACTGTGATGGCTGCACCTGTAAGGACACGTGGGGTGGATATGACTGCAAGTGTGGTGGTAACAAGTTGTATATAACAGATCAAGACACATGTATTGGTAAGAGAAAACATTTCATTGTCAATTTTGAATTTTTTGTGTTTCTTCCAAGTAACATTCACCCACTTTGGTTTAGTTTTCAGAATCTGTTTTCTGTTTTTTTTCCCAGAAATATTTTCAAAATTTTAAACCATTGCATTCCAATTAGAGATGTTGGCAAAAGGTCAAATTGAAAATTTTGTAGACAAACATTTGAAGATCATCTACCATTTCACCAAATTTTCCCCAAAAAATGATTTTAGTTACGTATTCATATTTTAGAAATGAACATTAATAGTTGGTGTTTTGATCCTTGTTCTTGTTAATCCATTGCACAGAAAGAAGTTCATCGAAATTTGGATGGTTCATTGCCTTCTTGGTCATAGCGTCTGTAGCAGGTGCTGGTATTGCTGGTTATATATTCTACAAATACAGGCTCAGGGTATGTCTGGTGAAAATTCAACAATCAAATGTGCGTTCAATTCATAGATAGGCAATGATGATCAGTAACACATTTATCTAAAATCTTTCTTCTTATTTGCAGTCTTATATGGACTCAGAGATAATGGCTATTATGTCACAGTACATGCCGCTTGACAACCAGCACAATAATCAAGTCGTCCACCACGATGCTGAACCTCTACGCCAAGGTTCATCCGTGTAAGGAAGGTAGTTAATCGCTCTCTTTGTTGTGCAATTCAGTGTGGGTTTGGCTATTGTTTTTTTTTTCCCATCTTTAGTGATCTTTATAAAAAAAAAAAAAAAAAAAATCAAAAAAATAACTTTTCAATTTTAGGTCCTACGCCTTGATAGATCCTACGTCTTTATTAAGATTTTTTTTATAATATTTTTTTTTTAAAAACACACTTTTTGGGTCCTTCTAGACCAAACGAGTCTAAAAAGTAACATCTTTGACACAAATAATAAAATAAAATAAAATTGCTAAAGATAAAAAAGCAAGAAATAATGTTGTTTTTTAAAACAGAGTCCGTGTCTTTTTTAGGTACGTAACAGGGTCAGGGTCATTTTGCTAGTCTCGTCTCATGATGGAAACGCATATGTGGTTAATTTCTGTAGGAACAGAAGTTCAAGTAATCACTGCTGAAAGAAAAGCTTGAATGGGGAGGGTTGGATTTCCATGGTTGAGGAATTTCGCATCCATCAATGGACTCTGGTGAGGATGGCAGTGTCAAGGATTTATACACAGGATTTCTTCAAAAGACACTTCATTTCTTTCTTCTCTTATTCTTCTTCTTCTTCCTCTTCCCATTTTCCCCCTTTTTTTTATTAAAAAAAAAATTCCCTTGTGTAAATAAAATAATTGAGATGTAAATGGAGGCTTGTAGTTGAGAATTTATAGCAAAAAGAAAATAATAATGTTGAGGATTTGTGACAATATAAAAATCAAACTAAACCTTAAGTTCTATTATGTGTACGAATAAATCTAGAAAAATGAAAGAGGATATGTTGAATAAGATGCCATAGTCTCTTTGGCTCATGATTTTTAGTTTATCTCTGTGCACTTTGTGAAGGTTAATTAATATTGTACGCTTCACCACATAGTCACATATCTAGCAAGGATTTTATGCTAATTTGTTGTGAGCCGTGAATGTTGGTTGTTTTGTCAAATCACTGAAATATGTGTCTCTATTTACACATCACATTTTACCTCAAAACACAACAGTACTTAATTCACACAATTTAATAAATAATAAATTTGTTCAATACACATCACAATGTTTCATTTTGACCCTTAATTACGCACTCCACCACCGCTGCCGTTGCCGCCACCGCCTGCAACCCAACTCCATCGATGGCGCTAGCACTGGCCCTTTTCCCTTCCTCTCTCTTCTTCAAGCCACCATTGCGATTTGTCCTGCAACCTCCTCCACTTCAGATATAGGATTTCAGAGAGTAGAGATTTAGGGTTTCAGAGGTGAAGGGAAAAAGAAGAAGAAGACGGAGGAAGGGGACTGGAGAGGGGAGCTGACGGGAGAGATGCTGTAACGGTGGCGTCGAGGGGTGGGGAGGATGGCACGAAGCTGGTGGGGGTGACGGTGTCATCACTGGCACTGGCTAGGGTTTGCAGTGGCACCATAGATCTTTCACCTCCTCCGCATCGCCACCAAAACCCATTTTCACAAAAAGCATGAGAGAGAGGAAGAGAGAGAGAGGGCGCGCGCGCGAGAGGTGCGATTTACCGGAAGGGAAGATTGCGAAATCTAAGTTATAAGGGAGTGCTTGCAAAGGAGGGAGAAGGTGAGAGAGGCGCTAGTGGCTGCGGGAGGATGTGGGAAAGGGGTTGACAACGGCAGGAGGTGGGGAAGTCACTAGCGGCGGCAGCAGCGGCGGAGGAGGAGTTGCTGGTTAGGGTTTCGAAAAAGAGAGAAAAGAGAGAACGTAGAAGAGGATATTTTGATAATTCTTTTTATGGACATAATAGTAATTAATTTTTTAAAAAAAAATGGTGTTGGATGAATAAATTGGTGGTGTGGTGTGTGAATAGAGATACCTTGAAATATGTGTTAGACTTTTCTTGTTTGTACTTAAATTTTTCTTTCACAAATTTGACTTTTTATAAAGAATATATAAGAAATGGCTAGTTGTACTATTGTAACAACATTATTAAAAAATTTCACACTATCAAAATTTGACTTTGATTATCTATTTTATTATTTTAGCATTTGGATATATGCTTTAAAATTTTTAATTATTGCATTTTTCATAATTACAATACTAGCATTACTAACAAATATATTCCTCAAATCATTTCTAGTAAAAAGTACAAGATTTTGCATCGCAAGAAAATTTAAATTGTTTTTGTATATAAACTGTCTTAGACTAAAAAATTAGCCCCCAAATTTTTTATTTTATTTTATTCTCTTTTTCATTCCTTTAATTCATTTTGTTCGTAAATATTTTATTGTACAGTATTTTTATTAGACAGAGATGATTACATCATAATAAAGACTCCTCATCCTTGGGTTGGTGAGAAACTGTGTGTAATATTCGTAGTGATAAATCTGAAACAATACATTGACAGCGATTGTATCATATTAATACAAAAAAAAGGTACTTATTAGATCGTTAATTTGCAAAATAAATAACTAATAAAAATAAAAAATAACTATAATTAGTAATCAAATTTAAATACAAGAAAGCAAACTTGTAAAAGTTCCTAGACAATGTAAATGCTAAAAGAAAACTTTCCTAAAATGTGAAAAATGTGAAATTGATATTATAAACAAATCACTTTGGCCAGAACCAAGGTTAGACTAATTGCAATCCAGCATGGACCTTTCAAAACAAATTTGATAATGTTAAGCTAAGCATGTATTTTAAGGTTTTGACATACTACTGTTTAAATTCTGTTAGCCATTGATAAAGTGCAAATTTTTTTTGTCATATATTAAAATTGCATTGAAAAAGCATGTGAAAAATATGTAAAAATATGAGAACTTTTAAAAATATTTAAAAAATATGTCAAGGTTATGATTATTTATTTGTTTTTACAGTAGAATGAATTATCATTAGATTGACTCATAAAACAAAACAAAAGATAAAAGAAAAAAAGAGAGGAGAGATATCGCACTTACTATTTGTGAGGTTTAAAAACAAATATTAAATCTCACAATGTTGAAATAATTATATTGATTTCTTTTTAGCAAGAGTAATAAAATAAACAAAATTAATGCCAATTGTGTATAAACACAAGAATAATTAAGAATAAATTACACAATTTACTGTAAAATGGTTGACAATATTATTTATTATTCATATAACTAACGAACAATTAACGGTATGTTTTACGTGAATTAAAACTTACGAGAAAAAAAAATTTGTAATATAATGCCCTATTTGGGAAGGAGTTTTTTTCTTTATTTTTTGGGCTAAAATAACACTAAAAGACAAAATAAGCCAAAATAATTAATAAAACAAATATCATATCAAATCCATAATTATTTCATTTTTTCTCTCATAAATATCACATCTAACTACAAAAAAATCCAACTATAGCGATCCCGGTTTTCCCCTTTCTTTATTTTATTGTATTCCGGACTCGGTTTCGTGGATGTATTGTTGTCGTATTCTCTTTTCCATCCTTTACTCTTTGTATTCGAGTTTTAGGTTGTGTTGGACGTGTTTCGAACAGGTTGGTTGAACTTTAGTCCCATTCCTTGTTGCCCAAAATTTTGGTGTTACGCTCAAGCGGGCCCTTTTGCACTTGAGCGGGTTTCGATTTTTGGTTGTCCGCTCGAGCGGACCGTTTCACGCTCGAGCGGAGTTTACACACTTCCAGCATTTTGTGTCTCTGCAAAACTTCTGTAGATGCGTTTTTCACGCTCGAGCGGATTAACTTACGCTCGAGCGGGTATCTTGGAGCTCAAGCGGGCTGTCTTTTGCGCTCGAGCGGGTGTGTTTTGCTTTTGTGTCTTGGCGCTCGAGCGGGTATTCTTGCGCTCGAGCGGGTCCAGTTTTTGTGCTTGAAGTTCGAGCGTCCTATTCTCCGCTCGAGCGGACCTGTCTGTATATCATACGGGACTTCACCTTTTTAGATCACTTTTTGATTTCCTTTCTCTCTCTTACTTTTTCAAAACTCCATTGGAGAGCTTCTCTCTCTAAAAACACAACTTCTCTCTAGGGTTTGATTTAGTAGGAGTGACCTCCTACCCTTTGGCCTCTGTAAATAGTGTAAAGCTTGGTGTGGGCTTTCTATCCATCCGAAAAAGTGGGAGTTTGGAGCATTTCTGAGTTTTGCTCCTCTTCTCCTTGGGTTCTCCATTTGAGGTAGGGATTTCCTTATTCTTTTACAATGCTTCGTCTATAGATAGACATGTGGTAGTTTTGTATTGCATGAAAATCATGTCCATGTTGGGTTTATTTAAAAATCATGAGAGGGAACCTAGGGTTGGTTGATTGGGAATGGATTTATTGTCATTGGTTATTCTTTGGACTAATGGGGAAGTAAAATAGCATGTTGTTGTTGAAATAAAGAAAAGCCCTAATTTGTATTTGATTTGAATAATTAAAAGAGGGGTTTTGTCCTTTGGGCCAATACTTCTGTATTTTGGGTCTCGAATGAGATTATTGTTGTTTGTTATTGTTATTTGAGCCTTTTTGGTCAATATTGAGAAAGAGGGAGGAAAAACCCTAATTTAATGTTATGAATTAAATTGCATAGTTGGTTTGGAAAGATATGAAGGAATGGCATTGGGTTTTATTAAATTAAAGGAATGGTATTGGTTTTTTTTTTTTTTGTGAAATGGGAAAAATGTTTTTGGAATAAGTGATGGAACATGTTGAACCTGAAAATGGGAGAATAAGTGTGAGAATTGAATCATTGTATCATGAGTGTTGAATACACATAGTTGGGGAAATTTAATTCGAAATTATCATGCCTGTGGCATTGTTGGATGTAAGATCTCATGAGAGTTGAGTCTTTATAATAGGAGTATTAAAATCTTGCATCTAGAGGTTTTGTCCTTGGTCATCGGTGGAGGATGACATGATTGTGTTGAATTGTCGTGTATGCATTACACCCGTGTTGGTTGAACGTTGTGTATAATGAAGTGCTATGATACATTATATATGTATACTTGTTAGGGAGAAGAGAGGGGTTGTACTCCAGTGTGTGGGAGGAGATAGGGGATGTACTCCACACACGTATGTGTTCATATACTTTAACACATTACTTTTGTATCTGGATAGTCGATGTGTATGGATTACACTTGTTGGTTGTGATTCATTGTATTGAGATGGTTGGTATCATATACTGTGCTTAGAATGAGGGGTACCATTACCTTCCAGCTTGCGCCTGGAAAATGTGGACGAGGTACCATTACCTTCTAGCTTGTGTCTGGAGAATGTGGACTGGATGCCGTTTCCTTTCAGCTTATGTCTGAGGAACTTGGCTTATGATTTGTTGTAGGTGTATCTTTAGCTTACCATGCTTATGGCAGGTAGGGCAGAATTTTGTTGTTGTTACCTCAGTGTATCTGAGTGTATCATGTATTGAGATAGTTACTGTATTGGAGGGCCGAGTTGCCTCATCCGTTGACTATATACATGTTGATGATTTGTTATCTCCCTTTATTAAAGGCATACATGTATAGATATGAATGTATTGGAAAGAAACCAAAATGTCATTTTGTCTTTTGGAAAGTGTGAAGGAAACCGAGTATTTTGAAAATGTGCTTTGAAAAAGGCACAGTCTGTTGTATGTTTGGAAAACGGAAGAAAGTGATGGGCTTAGTGAAATTATTTCTTAAGAAGTTGTTAATGTCATGAAAGATTGGGAATGAGGGATAATGAAAAGAAAAGAAAGATGAACCACTTATAGCGTTGAATGAAATGGCAGTTTTTGAGAAAAGTCATACATATGTATATTTGTATAAACTGTCACCTTACTATTCTAGTATGAGATTGGGTAGTCATGATCATAGCTATCTGTATGTTGTTATTGCTAAAGATCATGTTGAGATCCCTACTGGACTATAT